TTTTTTTTTTTTTTTTTTTTGTTCGTCATTTTCTGATTTCTCTCTTTTTTGCCTCCGGAAAAACTGAAACGTTGCAACGAACAAAACTCCCTACAAAATTCTATTTTTTAAAAAGCTTTCAAGAACCCGTTGATTTTTCTTCAAGATTATATTTCATTTATTAATTTTCTGAATAATCTTACCTATTTTTTCCCTTTTAATATAACCTGTTTATTGTTAAATGGTTCTCGATTTTTATAAAAAAATTGAAGACAGGAAAAATAAATTTATGGGTTCTGTTTCTGGGTTGCGTTTGCATTGAAGATTTATACATGCATGCATTGTTGGGAATTTTGTGTCGTTGGATGGGAAAAAAATTGAGGCCAAAAATACATATTTTGAAATGTTATTGCATTATTATTTTTATTTGATTTAAATGTTTCTGTGATTTTTTTGTGACATTGAATTGGGGCTGAAATTTTAAGTAAAATTGTTGTATGTGCATGCATAGCTATCATAAAATTATAGCTATGTGTGTTTTTGCTTTATTCAATGAATTGAGAAGGATTGGACTATGGAAAAGGGCTAGTGATCATTAAAGAATCAATGGATGCTGGAAGGGCCAGATTCGTGGCTGTTTTTCTTCTTTCTCTTTCAATTTTTGCAGCAAATAACTCAGAAGGCAATAGGAAATTAGCTAAAAGCTTTTCAGAAAATGGAGTTTCTTGGGATTTTCGGGACTTCGACGAAGATAAGGTAAGAACTATAAATTTGTCTGTGTATGAGTTTCTTTATGGATGTGTTGTGTTGTTGCTTATAGAATTTTGTGAGGAAAAAATGATTGTAATGGATTTTATTGGCTTGTGTCTTTAACTGGTTATCAAAGTAATAGTTTTGCTTATGATAGTTTGTTTTTGTTTATTTAAGCTTATTAATTAATAAGTTAATCTTGAGGTCAAGAAAGGTTCATCATGTTGAGATAATTGTTCATCTGATTAATTGATTTCTTTTGACTTGCCTTTTTTTTTTTGCATGCTTGAGATGGGATATATGATTGAAATCTCAATATTGCAAACAGTTACCATTAAATTAGCGGAGGATAAGATCATTACTTGTTTACAAAAGTTTTAAATATGAAAACTACCTACTGAACTTCTTCATGGTTGTGAAGCTAGTGGACTTATACAAGGGTCAATTTGACAGTATGTGGAGACCTTTTTTGATTTCATAACCTAAAACAAAAAATGGTGGAGTGGATCATCATATAGATTACACAAAACCTTCTATGTTTATTAATGGGAGAAATTTTTCAGGTGGATAAAGATGGTATATAGCTTCTCGACTTTCTTCCTGCTGATAGTTTATATTGGAGCAATAAATATCTGTGAGTGATTTTTCTTTTATTCTTAGGGTGGCTAACTGATAACTACATAGATGAGTGAAATTTAATCAAGTCTAGTTAGGGCAGCTTTGACCAATGTATTAAAGTAGTGTCGGTTACCATTCAAATTAACAAAACGATGATTATGCGGACTGCTTTACTCGAGTTTATTTTGTCCTGAAAGACTACGTAATATTTGCTGGACAGACTTGTAAGATTTGTTGAATTAGCTCTTTTTATTAGAACCTAAGTTTATATTAAGAGGATTCATATTTGTTGAACTGATTGGAATATGAAATACTCATCATTTGTATCCTTAATTCAAAACTTTGATAAACTTCATGTATTAATTTATCTGTTGTACGAATTTGATGAAAGTGTACTCTTGCAGGTTGAACAAGTGTGGCTTCACTGTAGGAAAGAATTAAAACAGAGTACAGAAGTATTTAAAGACTTGGATTTGGATGCAAAATATGATGCAACTGTATTTGTGAAAAGAATTATACACAAGGCTATAGTTAATCTACCTCCAAAAGATAAGGAAATCATTTTGGACTGCTTAAGACAGAAAAATTCTCCATGGAGTGCTTCTATCGAAGATACAGACTCTGGCAATTGGTACAAAGAGCTTTTTACTGGTTGGAACAAGGTTCCCAGAAGGTACCTACGTGGCAACAAAGATAGAGTTTTAAACCCTGTTCCAGCTCCCAGTCCTGCATTTGCACCAAATTTAGCTCCATCACCAATTCATCAAACTCCCGCCAGCGCACCTTCTCCAACTGTGGAACCCCCTTCTCCTGTTTTACAACCCCCTGCCATGGCTCCAGAACCATCTTCTTTACCAGTTCCTGTTCCCTCTCCTTCACCGCCACCACTGGCTCTAAAACATCCTCCACTGAAACCAAATATTGTTCCACCTATTCCTCCTGGAAAAAGCCACGAGAACATGAAGTTTATTATAGGCGTTATAATTGCAAGTTCTGTGGCAGGAGTTGCCCTCATAACTATGCTCTTCTTGTGCTATCTTAAGAGTAATAGGAACAACCTTGAGTCAAAAGATGGGCATAGAGACGAGAAGCCTCTTCTTAACTTTTGTTCAAGTGATATTTCTGCTGGTATTTTATCTTTGCGATTGTATGTCATCCAGAACTATTGATTTTTTTTGCAATTTTGTAACTTTTTAAGTTTAATTGTTCAGGTTCTTCACAAAAGTCTCAGAGCATGGGAAACCCAAGAAGTAAAGATTTCAAGATTCCATCCATATCATCTGCACATCAGCCTTCTCAAGCCAATACTCATTCATCAGTAGGGAATGCAGAAGCACCTGAAAAAACTAATGCCAAATTGCCACTTCCTCCTGGAAAAGCAGCTCCTCTGCCCCCCGAGCCTCCTCCTCCACCTGCTCCTACCCCACCACCACCTCCTAGAGGTTCTCGCCCTCCCCCTAATCCACCTAAACGTGGTAATTTGCCAAAGCCTTCCCCTCTTGGATCCAATCATCAAGTACGCTATTCCACGGGTGAGGCTAGTGAAAATTGTGCCGACTCTGAGGCTTCAAAACCCAAGTTGAAGCCATTTTTCTGGGACAAGGTTCTCGCCAATCCTAATCACTCGATGGTCTGGCATGAGATCAAAGCTGGCTCATTTCAGTAAGGGTGCACTTTGCAATTATATCATTTTGATTTCCAGATATATTCTGTTGTCCCATTCTGTCATGTGAATTGCTCAACTCTTTTATGGTCTGCAGATTTAACGAGGAGATGATGGAATCACTCTTTGGATACATCCCTACAAATAGGAACAAAAATGAGCACAACAAATATTCGTCTTCCTTTGATTCTCCTCAGTTTATTCAGATTATTGATTCTAAAAAAGCACAAAATTTAGCAATTCTTCTAAAAGCATTGAATGTGTCAACTGAAGAAGTTTGTGATGCAGTGAAGGAAGGTGACTCTTTCCCTCTCTCCATCCACCACCCCCCCCCCCCCCCCCCCCCCCCCGGCCCAATGAAGTTCTTTGATGATGTACTCTTTAAGAGAACATTTATGAATGCATAGTTAGAAAAAAATCATCAAGTAATTAATATCTTCATATTTACCTTTTTGCAATTTCGATAAATCTCCTTGAAATCAGAATCATCTACATACGTTAGTCGTATGCATAAAAAAATTCCAACTGAATAGTCATAGAATTCAACAATGGAACTCTCCGACTAAGTGAATCGCCCACTTTGTTAAGTCTTCCACTCTTAGGGCATTTCTAAAAGATTCTTTAAACATGAGATGACCTTTATTTTAAACAGAGAATCCTTAAAATTATGTTTCAAGATACTTCTTTATATTGACATTTTAAAATAGTGAGAGAATTTGGAAAGCTAAACTCATTCTCTACAATTAAATGTATTCAAAGTATTTCANTCAAAAAGTTTATTTACAAGTAAATATAAATTACTTATTTTGTCAGTTCAATATCTAACTTGTTTTACTTAAAACTGAAAAGAATGTAAGTTATCCAAACATATTTGGAAACAAAAGTATCTTCTACCTTTTTAGCCAAACATGCTCATTAACTGCACGCATTGGTTAAGTAGTTAAAAACGTTTTGCTGTTCATGTTTGTTTCTTTCTGCTTGTATAGCATTTATTTGTATGTTATTTAATTTTGTAATGGTGTGCATTGTTTTAACTTTATCAGGTAATGAGCTCCCACCAGAGCTCATCCAAACCTTATTGAAGATGGCACCAACAACAGATGAAGAACTAAAACTAAGGTTATATAGTGAAGACATCTCTCACCTTGGCCCAGCTGAACAGTTTCTAAAAGTCGTGGTTGAAATTCCATTTGCTTTTAAGCGCCTTGAATCATTGTTGTTCATGAGTACGCTTCAGGAGGAAGTTTCTACAATCAAAGAGTCATTTGCAACTTTAGAGGTCTGTGCGCAACCGAACCCACTAATGAATTACGCAATTGCATTTAACTATATAATTAATATCTTGTCAATCATGGTGTCGATATCCGTCCAATACAGCATACCAAACATTCCCTTAACATTTTTCTCTTGTGCATGTTTCTTATTAATTTCTCATTTAAAAGGTTTTTATTGTATAAACATGCATCACTACGTGCAGATAGCATGTAAGGAACTCAGAAACAGCAGACTATTCCTGAAGCTCTTAGAAGCTGTTCTCAAAACCGGGAACCGTATGAACGATGGCACTTATCGTGGAGGTGCACAGGCATTCAAACTCGACACGCTCTTGAAATTGGCAGATGTAAAAGGAACTGACGGAAAAACCACTCTTTTGCACTTTGTCGTCCAGGAAATTATTCGATCAGAAGGTGTAAGAGCTGCACGTAGATTAAGAGAGAGCCAAAGCATGTCCAGTGTGAAAACTGAAGATCTCATCGAAGACTATTCACATGAAATAGAAGAATACCATCGAAACCTTGGTCTTCAAGTGGTTTCTGGAGTTAGACATGAGCTTGAGAATGTAAGAAAGGCAGCACTCATTGAAAGTGACAGTCTATGTGCAACTGTGTCCAAGCTTAGGCACTCACTTGTGAGAACTAGAGAATTTCTTGAGATGGAGATGAAGAGTGTAGAGGAAGATAGCGAGTTTTATGATACACTTGCTAGTTTCATTCAGCATTCTGAATCCGATATTACATTTCTATTAGAAGAAGAAAAACGTGTAATGGATCTGGTAAAGAACACGGGAGATTACTTCCATGGTAATGCAGGAAAGGGTGAGAGTTTGCATCTCTTTGTGATTGTACGTGATTTCTTGTTCATGTTGGAAAAGGTCTGTAAAGAAGTGAAAAACTCTGCAAAATTATCGGGAATCGGAAAGACCCCTAGGAAAGAAGCATTGACACTATCCCCGTCTCAAGAATCGCGCCAGGAGTCTTTGCCAGATTTTCGCCAGCGACTATTTCCAGCAATCAAGGAGAGGCGTATTGATCATGACTTCAGTTCAGATGATGAAAGATCAACGAGTTAAACTGAAATTTTCTAGATTGCATTCCCCCACCCCTCCCCTTCCCCACCCAAAAAAAAAACGCATATGGCAGCTGAGGAACATCTCCTAAAGGTCTCTACATTCAATATGTGTTTCTGGAACCGAGTTTCTGCTAATGAGAGGATAAAGGAACAAGGTTGTTCCTATGTTGTTTAACGGTTATCTCTAAGTACAAAAATCAGCATGAATACACCTTCCTGAGGCTTATAAAATAGTATAGGAGTATCACAACCGTATATCTGATTCTTTTTTCACTTGAAAATCCAATGTTGGTTTGTTTTTGTGTTCTATTTATTTATTTATCTATTTTTTTCACTTTTGAACTCATTTCTTATGTATGATGTAAATGTTGTGGTCTAAAAGCTGCAGTACTTGCTAGTCGATGTAAAAACTTTAAGCATTTATTCTCATTTTCAATTCAGATAGTATGCTCTTACTCCATCAGTAAAGTAGCATTCAAATTTTCAGTATTAGAAAAAGAATTAATATATGATTAGACAACACGGGAATTTTCCAATTAGGGTTGCACGTACTGAGTAGACACTAGGACGAGTTGAGAGTTGTGGTCTATTTATGCTGTTCAATTTGCTTTTCACCCCATTATAAATTGACATGTCATGGAAAATAAAAATTGATGACAACTTTAATTTTTCATGATGTGTCAATTTGCAATTTTGTGGACAGCAGAACTCAACTCAAAGAGGTTGCCATAGCCCTATGTAGAGTATTCATGGGAAGATTTAATTATTGGACACTAGAATTATATCGCGAAAGCCAAAGAGTTTGTCATACTTAATGAAATCTTTTCCGCAATCAAATTGACTCACATGGATCATATTTTGGATTTTAGCGACGACACTTAATTATAACATTCCATACTCATTAAACCTACTTTCTGCCATCCTCGTTCAAAATAAATTGAATCACGTGGACTCATAAAGAAGCTCCAATATAATGAAAACGATTGAAACCAAATGAATGTTTCACATCTTCATCTTACTCACCAGTAGTTGCAAGTGAATAGACATGGAAGAGCAAACAAAAACAAAAGATTTGTCTAAATCTTATGTCATGGCTTCGCTTAATAATGTCTGCAATATTGCTACCATAATATTGTCAATTACTACAAATATATCAAGTAGCTTGCCAGAAATGTTAGGTAATAGAATAATGGTATTTGCAGTCGTCCACTGGGCCATTGCAACAGTCATCTTACGTGACATACATACAGCAATTAGTGATTTGATACATAAAGCAAAAAGAATTATCACATTAATACATCAAATCACTAATCGTCACATGTAAGCCACCTAGAGTGACTACAGTAGCGGGCGACTGCAAATAACATTACTCTATATAATAAAAGTAGTTAAATAAGTTAGTTTACATTTAAGACTATTACAAGCACTAAGATGACGAAGTAAATTATATTGCTTCCCAAAGTGGGAAGTAATATTTCTTCAAATCATGGTTCATTAAGACTTAAATTTAATGTTTGATTATGCACACTCCATTCATGTGGATAAAGAATTCTTGTTTTTCTGAAAGAACATTGAAAATTGTGTGTATTGTATAGCAACGATAACAAATATCATAATTGATATTTTCGCTACATTCACCACCTAGTTAAATATTTTTTTGTGTATGCAGTTGACGATTGTGCATATGTAGGCTGACCAATGTGCATATATAGGTCATCGACGATGCAAAAGGATTCACGATCTTTCAAGTGCTGGCATGCGTACTTCTTCTTTGGTAGAGATCAATTACGAGGAATAAGTGAAATTAAATACCGAAATCATACTGACATAAAGTAGGGAAACAAAAAAATTGATAAGAAAAAGACTTGCATTTCTCGAATTCCATTTCTTCGAGAAATGCAAGAAAAGAAAACTTTCTTAATCCAACTTTGAAAAGGCATGTTTTGTATAAGTATTAAAAGACCACATGATAAAGGATTGAGTTCCGAAATGAAAACAAGATTCTAGGGGCCACTTTATGTGTTGAGACATTTATAAATCTAAATGCTACATACATGCTTCTTCGAGTCATTTTATTGATTGGAGGAGAGTATAAAGCAAGTTTTTTCATTTTAACTTTTTTAATTAGAAGAAGAAAGAGTGTTTTTAGATTCAATATTTACCTTTAAATAAGCCCACGAAGGGTCGCGGTCAAGTAATACCTCTTATAAACCCTATTATCTTCATCTTCCCCTGGCCGCTTTGTCCCTGTTGCCTCTTGCAAACAGAATTCAGACCAAAAATCAACAATGGCACCGCCAGCCCATTCTCACACTCAACCCTCCCAAAAAGAAGAAGAAGAAGAAGAACCCTATTCAGAAGATGAAGATGAAGAAGAATTATCTTCTGAAGAACCAGAGCGAAAAGAAGAATCTTCTGGAGAAGAAGAGGAGGAGGATGAAGGATCGTCTGAAGAAGGAGAAGAATCTGAAGGAGATAAAGAAAAAGAGCCAAAAACTCAAACCCCACCACCCAAATCACATTCAAGAAACGAAGAGGAAGATGGGTCGGATTCTGAACCCGAATCAGACTCCTCTCCTTCTCAGTTCAAACTGCAGCCTATCTCTAAGCAGCCAGCCCCCTCTGCCAAACGTGCCCGACAAGAGGATAGCAATAGTGAAGATTCTTCAAGGAGCCAGAAAAAGCTGAAAACTGTTGAGAAAATGTCTGATCCTACTTCTGTTTCTGCCACTTCTGGAGGTGGAGGATGTATTATGAGGCTGTGGACTGAGGAGGATGAGATTGGTCTTCTTAAAGGTATGATTAACTTCAAAAGCCAAAAGGGGGTGGATCCATATGCAGACATGGGTGCTTTTTTTGATTATATTAAGCAAAAATTAGAAGTGGTTAGTTCTAGGGTGCAAATGAGTAGTAAGATTAGCAGGATGAAAAAGAGATTCTTGAATGCTGTGGAGAAAGGTGAGAATGGTGAGGACCCTGTTTTCTCCAAGCCTCATGAATGCACGGCCTTTGATCTTTCCAAGAAAATCTGGGGTGCAGCGGTTGAAAAGAGTAAAGGCAGTAATACCAATAGGGTTGTTGAGAATGTGAAGAAAGATAAGGGGAAATCAGAAAAAAGTAGCAAAGATGAGGAGCAGCAGATTGTAAGGAAAGAAAAAGAGGTTGGAGTAGACTTTTGGTCCAATTATCCGTTTCTCAGAAGGTCGTTTGAAGCGAATGGGGTTTGTCAGTCCTTGTCAATGCCTGATAGTGTAATGGGTTTTGTGAAGGAGAAGATGAGTTTGCTTGGGAGTGCAAAAGCAAAGGATTTGGAGGAGAAGTGGAAGGATTTGTTTGAGAAGGAAACTGAACTCTATCTCGAAATGTTGAGTTTGATGAGGGAACAGACTAAGTTGGCATTGGGGATGTAAAGAAGAGGTAAATTGTTGGTTTCTGGCTTATATTTTGGCTTCATTTCAACTACATGATCTGTTGGCAACTTTTGTTTTTTTGTTTTTTTGGATAATCTGGGACTAGAACATATTTTGACGTTTTGATTTGTATATCTCTGTTTTATGGTTCAGTATTCTGGATTTTATTATGGCCAACAGTTTATTGATATTTCAATCTCTATCCATCTTTCAATATATCATTTAATATCTTTGTTGGACGGGAGGAGACTAATGCATTCTTGATTGTGTTTATGGATCCCTATTTATCAGTATCTTTGGTTGGTTGGATGCGAAACCTTGTGATATCATTCTTTTTTATCATTTCCTAAAAAGTTATTTATGTGACCTTGATGTAAAGCTGGGATAGAGGTTTATTACTAATAAGTAACTCAACCGGAAAACATATTCGTTCTTTAGCGGATCTTTTACAAGATCAATTCAGATTGGCTCTGGTTCGTTTAGAGAAGGTGGTTCGAGGAACTACACGTGGAACTCCCATCAGCTGCTTTCTTTTCAATGATGTTTATATGCCTGCATGTGTTTTGCTGTGCCTTGCTGGGCTCAACTCGTTTAAAAATTTCCTCAGCCTGCAGACCCATCTGGTGATGTTTTCCACTTGTTTTAGATTGTTTGCTTCTAATTTTTTTGTTCCAAATGATATATAACATTGGAATCAAAATGAGGTGAAGAGACCATTGGAAATTGTATGATATTTGATAGTAACTGGTGATTAAGGGACATCAGATATTTTATGGAAGATAAGGAATGTTGGTGTATTTAATTGGACGGGAGATGAAAGAATCATTAGTAGAATGAGATTTAAGGGTATGAATGGATGTGTGTAGTGTGTGCCCGTCTATATATAGATATTTCTGCCTGTGCTGGCTGAGCACTCGTCGGGCTTTTGCTGTGGCTGGACTCAGGAGACTGGATTTTCCGGGGTAGCTAAGTAAAGTTTCATCTTAGTTATAGTGGTTTAGGAACTTACCAAAGGTGTGTTTGATAACACCCCGTTTCCATGGAAAATGGAATTTCTTTTCATTTTCCTTGTAAATGTATTGTTTGATGCCCAACTTTTTGCCTGGAATTTGTGCCAATTATTTTCCACTCACGCGCTTTATTCTTGGCGTGAGAAGAAAAGGTTTTCCCATCTTTTTAGGTCGGAAAAGGTTTTCTGATCTGTCTGTCATTTTTTTTTTTTTTTTTTTTTAGCAATAGAAACAAATTTCATAACCAAGTATAAAAAAATTTCACTTTCATGGATAATTTTGATTCAAACGAATGTCAAACGAACATTAAATTTTGATTAAAAAAATAATTTTTTAGGAAACTTTTTNATTTTGATAAAAAAAAGATTTTTTAGAAAATCTTTTTTTTTTTTTTTTTTTTTTTTTTTTTACTTTTTGGCAATGGAAACAAATTTTATAATCAAGTGTGGAAAAAATTATCACTTTAATGGACAATTTTGATGCAAACGAATACAAAATTTAAAAATTTTTCTTGGTGAAAAATTATACTAATCAAACACGTTTTAATTAACAATTTCTTGTAAAATAAATTTTAGGCAATTATTTTTTCTGGAATTTATTTTCTTTCAATTCATTTTTCACCGTTGCAATCAAAAGCATCCGATTTTGTGAAACTGCCAAATACTTTATTCTTATGAGATGAAAGGGCAATATAGCGTGCATTTGTGTTTAAGCATGCATATATAGGGATGCAAATATTCTTTATTTACTTTTTGGCCTGTGTGAGCTGGCACGCGGGCAGGGCTTTTGCCACGTGTTGGGCCGCTCTGTCGAATGGTGCTTCTGTTTTGGTTTCTGCACAAGCAAGGTAGCTCAGTGAGATTTTGCAACACTTTTTCAATCTGAACATTGTCTTTCTGGCTTTTTGGAAAATAATCTTAGGCCCGTTTGATTGGCATTATTTTTCAGGAAATTAGGAAAATATTTTACACTTTCTACTTTTTTGACTATTTAATAGGCAAAATTTTCCACGGAAAATAGTGAGAAAAAATTTTCTACGCTTGCTGGAAAAAAATCTTTTTTTTTTTTGTGCAATGGAAACAAATGTCATAACCAATAATAAAAAAAATTTCATTTTAATGGACAATTTCTATATAAAACAAGGTTAAACGAACACTAAATTTTGATAAAAAATTATTTTTTTGAAAACAATGTTTTTCCTTTTTTTTTTTTTACGGAAACAAATTTTATAACCAATTGTGAAAAAAAATATCATTTTAATGGACAATTTCCATATAAAATAAGGGCAAACGAATAGAAAATTTAAAAATATCACTTTATTGACTTCTTTATTTATTTATTTTTTTTTCTCGCTCTAATTGATAATATATTATTAACATAATTCTCTCAAAATTAAAGTGAATTATTTAGAAGGTAATAATTTTTTGAAGCATAATTATTTGACATGTGTACCAAAATTAATTTGTTTATATGTCAATTTTTTCATATACATATGCATCGTAACGAGGTTGCATGATTGTTTCTACCCAAGTTTTCCTCCAGCTTTTCAGAACGCATATTTGTAAAGGATCTTGTTGATGTATATTAAAATTTACGTAATGTATTATATAATGTCACGTGATATTTTATGATTTGAAAATACAATTAACTTTTCCATCCAATATTTTCCATCACATCATATTATATAATCTATTATGAACTTTTTTTTTTACACGTACAAGTAGTAAAATTCATTTGTAAATACCAAATTGATTGTTCAAATATTATTAATTAATGAATGTCTATAATGATGTATTCCATAATTTTCTTGGTTTCCATAATGATGCAAGTCTCTAGTGATGTACGCATGAATTATTTAATTAATCATGATACAAAATATTATTGGACAATTTAAAAATAAAAATATATTTTTCACCCACGATTTTCAAAAAACAAAGGCAATGTAAAAGATAATATCAACCAAAGAATGTACATTTAATATTATTTTTATTTATGGGGGTGTTTGATGCACATTATTGTGAAGAAAATGCATTTTATGATGTGATGTGTTGAAAAATATGTGAATAAAAAATAAGAAAAAGTTTTGTTTTTGCGTGTAATATTATTTTATTGAAAAATATGTTGTTAAAATGAGTATTTAAAGAATGAATTTTGGAAAAAATGTAGATCGAGTAGGGGCTTAATTACTCAATTATTTAATTATTCAACTATTTTTTACTACGGCACGTCTGTGTAGTGTCAATTCCATGGTTTACCATTGCACGTCGGCTCAGGGTCAATTCATCAATTCATGTTTGTTTTAAATTTTTTTTTTTCTTTCTCTATGTTTGCAAAATATATACATTCGTGTAAATTAAAATCAAATTTTTAATAAATTTTGATAAAAATTGATAAAATGTGTGATTAAAAAGTTGTTAATTTCATAAAATATATGGTTAAAATTAATTTTGACTTTAACTTGAGATTAAAATCAAATTTTAATCAGAACCAAACAAGAGCAAAATATTCTTTTATTTCTTTTGCATAATTAAATATTTTTTGATCTTGAAAAATTTAAATTGATAATTTATCGTGTTATTGCTCTAGTAAAGCATTTATTTAATATTCAAGAAAAATATTATTCGTAGATTTGTCTATTACAAATATTTTATTGTTACTCACATAATATTATAATTAATATTTTAAAAGAATATTATTTGGTTCTGAATCTCGTGAATTCTAATTCTCAATATTTCCAAACACAATATATATTGCTCTTGAAGAACCAATAGCAAAATATAATGTGCTCTTAAAATAGCACATATTTAGTAGAATATATATTTTATCGTGTTCTTGGGGAACTCAAATTAAACAATTTAATACGTGATTGCAATTTTTAAAGAAATTTTTTTATTTTATTAATATTTAAGAAGAATATTAATATATCGCCTCTAAAGAACATAACATTCAGTGTTTCAATATTTTTGAAAAATATTATATCATTGCTTTTAAAAAAAAGCACAAATCTTGAAATAATAATAAAATTTAAAATGGATTATCAAGATATCCGTTTAAAATTACGCACACAATTCTTCAAGATAAAAAAACACTTCTTTAAATTAACATTATCAGAAAATAATGTTAATACGATATAAGGTGTATCGAATATCGGTAAAGGCTCTGAAAGAGCTTGCATTATTCGATCAAATAATACAAAGTATACATTGGCGATGCATTTTATTCTAGCAAATTTAAAAGAAATTTGTTTGATTTTAAAGATTATTCGCTATAATGGATATCATATTGGGACAATGCAGAAAATAATATAGAAATCTTTCTATAACTTATTTTGTATCCGGCAAGAAGCAAATTAAAGAAAAACTCCTGACACTCCTTTTTAGCATGTATTATACATTCATACAAATGATTGAATCAAACATTATCATAAACCCGAAATTCTTTGACCCTACAATAACTCTATATACTACGAAAGAATTGTATTATTATTATTATTTCGGAATTAACATTGCAGAAATTCGTAGAATTTGGACAGTCTGCATAATTGTGATAAAAAATATTATTATATCGGCATTTTTTAGATTCTTGTAAAAGACCATTCGAATATAAAGTTCGAAAGATAATTCATTTAGATTTACTAATTAAAGAGATCAAAAATATCTTACACGTCAGTTTTAAATGATCCAACTTAAATTGAAGTATTGGGAGAACAATTCGTTATCATTATACCTAATATATCTATGGCATGTATGAAGCGTAAATATATTCGATTTTAAGACAAAAGATATATTTAGGTTGTGTTTGATACACATTGTGGAGGAAAAATGAATTTTTTTAAGGGATGTGATGGAAAATATGTGGTTAAATAAGGAAAAGTTTTGAATTTGCGTGTAATATTGTTTTATTGATAAATATGTGATTGAAAATGAGTAGAGTAAAAATGCATTTTTAAAGAATGTGGATCAAATATGGACTTAATACGATTTGAAGAGA